AGTGAAAATAAGTTATTTAACAAATTCCCAGTGAAGTCATAAATTTGTACCATTTATTTTCTGAAAACATCATCTGGAGGATATATAGGGTGTGAAATTAATGCCTTTTTGATATAAAAATGTAATATAATTGCCCACAGATACTTATGATCCGTATATAAATAAAAAAGTATGATCTATATTTTGCCGTGTATAATGCACCCTTTTTTTGCCCAAATTTTTGAGGGGAAAAATAAGGATGTATATTATACTTGAGAAGTACTAATTCTGTATCTCTATGAATGTTTTTAATTCTTTTATTTATGCTTATGTGTTAAAAGTGTAACTCTAGAAAGCAATAACCATATCCATATGCAAAGTAATACCCCGGAATATGATCATCCGTTTTGTTGCTAAATATAAATAAATGAAAAATTGAATTAAAAAATTAAAACAAAAGTTTTTTTCTGAAAGTTTGAGCTGAAAATGTGAGTGTGCATTATACACAGCAAAATACGGTAGTAGTTATGAAGATTAAATGAAATAACTGATTTAAAACCACTTAGAGCAATTAAAATGCTACACAAAATGGAAATTATCCTTTTACCTTTGGTGAATCTAAGATTTATTCATTATGATAATATATTTAAAGACCAAATTTATTAGAATAATTAATAGATACTGAAATAGTCAAGATTGAATTCACCCCAATGTTATAAAAATATGATGATAGATGAGCAGTTAGCCAAATAGAGTATGATTCTTGCTTGAGTAACCTTTAATAGCATGTTACAAATGCTCTCTGAGTCACCTATCAAAAATGTAGAATAATTAATATGAAAGAGCAAATGTCATAAAGTATCTTATAAGCACTGAGTGAGCATTGATTGTTAACTGCACTGATGTGCTGGACTGTTCCAATATATCAACACAATGTCAACATTTTAGCCAATGAGGCAACACGGATGGAATCCACTTCTCAGGGAAGATTAGGCCCAGATGTGACAATTAGGCCCCTAGAAAATAAATTCGACCCATAAACAAGAAAAGGCAGTCAATGAGTCCATTGTGGAAACAGATTCAATAAAAATCCCAGTTTTATGGAATTAAAGCACCTTATTAAGTTTCATTTGAACATGTGCAGCGTACGAATGCGTAGGAAATTCAGTATTCCTCCCATTTGGTTACCTCTCTCAAAGGTCGTACAGTCCTTCCTGTCACCCTTAAGAAATCCCTTCTCGCTTTCCCAGCCTGTGAGAGACAGGTAGTGACTCTCCGTGGCGGTTCAGTGGCGCATTTTTCACTTAAAGAGACATAATTGGAACGATGGGAACCAATCAGAGTTAGAACCATGGCCAACGCAGGGGTGGATTTTCATGTACTACTTAAATTTGTACTATTTTTAACGCTTCGTTATTGTAGCGTGTAAGCCACTCGTTCATATAGTATTAATTTAAGGGTGTCCAAAATTACAATACTCTAATGAAGGAAAATGTCGCGAGTATGTCAGAGAAATTATGCCTTGGAATTCTTCTGACAAACCATTTCGATATCACTTTTGCTGTCTGAATTCTCTAGAATTACATAGTAGAGACTTTGTTCCCCTACCTAGTTACCTTTTTAGAACTAAATTTTTCAGAGCCTATAAAATGAATGTGCACTTTTGCTTTTCACATCTTAAAATCTCACAGCTGCTGCTTCTACTTCTGTTTGTGCTTTCTCCAATTATCATGATTCTGTCCCCAACCACTATGTATTGGCTATTAAAAAAAATCACTTAAAATATCTCTACTTGCTTCCAATGCGCTTCCCCTATCAATTTACAAACTAACCTGAGGCTACAGTAGGAGTGGGATGTGGAAGAACAGCGTTAAAAAAAAAAATTGAGGTTGTCTTGTCATTCATTCATGAGAGAGAGAAACTATTCAGGGGGTATTTTCCCTGAATATCTGGGGTAAATTTATCATGCTTTCATAGAACTAAGCAGTGACTCCTAATAGTCATATTTAGTAGCTAAATGTCTATATTGGTCATTGAAAGACTTAAACTCAGCATCCTGAAGGAAAACCATTTTAATTTTAAAGATAACAATACAGTTTCAACTGGCAAATGCAAGCGTTGGAGTCCAATAATGAAGACTGAGGTTATATAATTTAATCATGCGTATTTACATCCTGACAGATGTATTTTGTGTTTGTTGTATATGGGTTAACCCCAACTCAAAGACAGTTTGGAGTTTTTATATTATATATAACTTCTGTGAGGACAGGTACTTTTGTCTGTTCACTGATTTGCTCGCAGTGCCTAGAACAGTGCCTGGCATGTGAAAATGACTTAAATAAATATTTGTTGGATAAGCGACAAAACTGTCGCTTCCAGGTATGCAATTTGTGCATTCACTTCAGTTGTGAAAATGGCATCGTCCTTTTTGGTTGGTTTGTTTTTCAGTTTTTCTTGGTTTTTAAAACCTCCAAAGAAATGTGCACTGATAAAACCCCTGAAATGTTTTCTGTGATGATGTTATTAAAGGTAGAATGGAACGGATTTAGGATGGGCGGGGCGGGGCCAGGCAGGCTGATTGGAATTAGGTCCCTGTCTTCACTCTTCCTCTCGTGTAGAGATTGCAAAATGCGCGCAGCATTTTAAAAACGGGCGGTAAGATAAGAATAGAGTGGTCGTTTTCATTCCAGTTGTCGGTGTCCCCATTTTTATTTTGCTTATGTTTGCATGGTATTTATAAATTCACACACAGACACTCACTTTTTTCTAATGTCCTAGATTCACAATGCATAGTACACACGTGTATGTATCTTAACTCATAGTAAGTATAAGTGGGGTATTTTAGTCTTACATTCATAAAGGAGGATGGGGCCAATAATTTACAAGTGATGCTAAAAATATCCCAGGCAATAGTCTCTTTGTGATGTTTAAAAGGAAAAAATGCCTTCAGCATTAGCATTGCTTACCATTATACTTCAAATGTTTTAGAAATCCGACCGATCCCTCAACGCAGGAAACTGGTTGAGCTGAGCTCGTAATATGTACTTCTTAGCTTCAGTGATAAGAAAATATAAAGTAGTGTGTTTCAACTTCATCTCTTCTTTCTCCTCATAACCTAAATCATCTCAATTGTTCTATTACCGATTGCAAATAGTAAGGTTCCTTTTTCTCCACTTTTACATTTTCTGACCCGTCTATATGCATATTTTTTAATGCCGATGCACAGTGATACGGTGTGAAAGTTATTTAACATAATGCATTGTGTGGCCCAACATGATCAGAACCTAACATCTATAGCACGATATAGCATTTCATCAGTTCTCCTGTTCTTAAAACCATTACTAAAATTTTATTAATCTTATTGATTACCAATAAATATTGAGAACTTCGTTAGTCAGCTGCTCTTTCAAAACTTCTGAATGCATTGATAGATGGAATGCATTAATCCATCATTTAATTATATAAAAATATAACATCTGATAGGGTGTAGCGCAGTATGATACAAGTTTCATTGTGTTTATATCACTAACTGCAAATAATGTCTAGAAGCACATTAAATGTTTTATGATACTAGATATAAAGGATATTTAATATACCAAGTTGAGACCATATCAAACAGATCTAGTTGAGAATAAAATGTGATAATTAATAAAGGAAAATGAAAAAATTACAAATTTTAAGGAATAACTACTTGTGATTGAATTTTATCAGCAGAACTAGAGAACTGAAATAACTTGGGGAGATTTTAGTGAGTTAAAACAAGCAAGAGGGAGTAAAACTGCCAGGGAGATTGTTTTTTGACTCACTGTTTCAACTCAACAAAAGTGTTTTCAAATGCCTTTGTTTGTATTTATTTTAGATATTATTTATTTATTTTTTGAGAGAGGGGAAGGGAGGGAGAAAGAGAGGGAGAGACACGTCCATGTGCGGTTGCCTCTCGCGCGCCCCCTCCTGGAGACCTGGCCCACAACCCAGGCCTGTGCTCTGACTGGGAATTGAACCAGCGACCCTTTGGTTCGCAGGCTGGCACTCCATCCACTGAGCCACAACAGGCAGGGCACCTTTCTTATTTTTAAACCCTAGTCCAACGGGGTAATTTTTACTTCAGTTTGTAGAAGTGAAAACCCATTCCCATGGGCCACTTTCTACCATGTACAAACACAAAGTTGCCCGAGTTGAGAGGTCTTCCAAGCATTCAGTGCAGCTCTCCCACTGAATGTTTGGATATCGCCTGCCGTATGATAAATATGTGCAGCTCATCTGGTGCTCCATCTTCTCGGTCAGTGCCTCCAAAGATATGGAATTCACTGTCTCCTGAAAACCAATTTTTTCCGTAAACGTTTCAATAGGCAGTTGTTTGTGTTGATCTGAACATCACCGCCCTGTACTTTATTCCTATTCTTCTTCTCAAAGAAAAAAACTTAATACCCTTTTTACATGATAGTTCTTCCCATGTTTAGATATTTACCATGTCAATTGCTCTTCTCTGTCAAAGGACTTTAATCCACAAGTACCTCATGCATTCATTTAGATCGATTTTACATTTTGAGGTTGAGAACGGAACACCTTCCAAAATTGTGTAAAACCTTTATCACCAATACAGGAATTGCATTTGAAACCCATATTATAACAAAGAATGATGATGCTATTTTTGTGAGTGGTAACATACCTGTTTACTTTTCCTTAACCATGGAATTAAATATATTAATGATTTTATTGCCTGCAAGTGTCTTGATATATTGTAATATTACCTTTTTTATATTTTGTCAATATGGTGAAGCCAAATTCTCGAGCCTCTTAATTACTCTAGGTGTCTTGTTTTGTTTACACTTCAGCTCAGAGTAAAAATGCATAACGTCTGATTCCAAACACATCTGCCGGTTTATTTAATAGTGTTGATCATGCTCATATTTTCAGGCAATGATTTTAATTATTCATTAACACACATTTAATGGGGAGCTTTACTAATGTCTTCTGCCTCTTCCTCTTTCTCTTCTCTTTCTGTGTTTCCTTTTTGACAGAATTGTGCTGGCGGGCACAGAGACCTGGGGTAATCCGACCTGTTAATGGACTTGTTGTTCGGGACGTACATATTTGCGGTCCTGTTAGCATGCATTGTATTTCAATCTGGCGCCCTGGAGAAAAACTATACCATTCTCGAAGAAATGCCAGAAAACGTCATGATTGGCGACCTGTGGAGAGACCTCAACCTGTCACTGATCCTGGACAAGTCCTTAACGATCCCCATGCAGTTCAAGCTGGTGTACAAAACGGGAGAGGTGCCGCTCGTCCGCGTGGAGGAGGGGACCGGGGAGATCTTCACCACCGGGGCTCGCATTGACCGCGAGCAGCTGTGTGCCAGCCTCCTGTTCGATGCTTATTGCTTTTACGAGGTGGAGGTGGCTATTTTGCCGGATGAGATATTTAGACTGGTAAAGGTGCGCTTCCTGGTAGAAGACATAAACGACAACGCGCCGCTATTCCCCACGACGGTGATCAACATATCGGTTCCGGAGAACGCGGTTAGGAACACGCGTTTTTCTCTCCCAGCGGCTATTGATCCTGACACGGGAATAAATGGAGTTCAAAACTACTACTTAATTAAGGTGCGTGTTAAGATCACTCTGCTAGCGATAGCTCATGGTTTACAGTCAAAAGAGGATCGTAGTGTACTTCCAATTTTGAGTAAGTCATCACCCTAATGTTTGAAAGTTTAAGCGAAGTATAATGCAGAAATTTCATCAATGCAGTTTCTGCAGTTGCATCTGTATCTTAATTTTCTGCGTATTCATTTTCAAGCACTGGCTTCTGTTTCCCTTGATGCGCTATCAGTGGTCAGACAAGGGACTCAGCTTTGCTGCTGAGAAATCAGTAACCAACCCAGTATCTCACTTTTAATCTGACTTTTACTTTACTGCCACAAACGTAACCTAAACAAGTAAATCTAAGCACTACTAAGGAACACACAAACCTATCAGTTTCTCTCAGTGATTATTTTAGATACAAATCTTTATTTTGCCTTTTGAAAATATGCTTGAATTTACTTGAGAGGCAACTAGAACATTTTCATTACCAGAAGTTTTACATGTATATAGAATAATGATAAATATTTTTGATAAGTTTACTTGAGAGATGATTAGATAAATTTACTTGAAAGGCGACTAGAACATTTTCATTAGTAGCAGTTTTACGTGCATATAGAATAATGATAAATATTTTTTCATAATGATTTTCAAGTCAAGGCAAGGTGTTTCAGCATTTCAGGTCATCAAAATGAGACTCCATTTCAGCCAATGTGTTGTTAATGTTAAATATTTTAATTTTGTTCCAATTCTCTCCAAACACAGGGCATTGAATAGCTGTAGAAGGTAAGTAAGCCATTCAGTGAAAAGCCTCCAATGAATCTGAAGAACCTATATTGGCTTGAGTTGGATCTTGGAATGAGGTAGAGGAAAGATTAAATGGAATATTTCATCTTCTTTGAAATAATTTAATTACATATATGGTCTATAGAGTAGTAGAAAACTCCAATTTTGCTATGTAAAACAGTAGAATGCGTGCAAATGATATTAGAAAATGTATAAAAGAACAAATGTGTAGATTTAATATAGATAGGATCAAGGTATTTTCAAAGTTTTATAAACATTTTCTGACAGTTCATTAGCAGATTATGAGTAACATACTGATCAATGTTAAAAATAGTCAAAGAACACATAAGCTATTTGGATGTATATTAGGTAAAGGTTTTGGTAAAATACGGGACAACTGCTCAGCTGATACCAACATGTTGTGAAGAAATATTGGCTTATAAATATATTTAGGAATTGAAAGCTACAGATCTCTTGAGCGAATTTGATTGGAATGCAGATTTGTGTGGAAGTATAAGAAGTAAAAACGGAAAAAGAAGTGACAGGTTGTTTATAAATGAGCATTTTTAGGTAAAACCCATGCAATGATACCTCCTTATCTGATGAAATGGATAAAATATGTAGGAGGCAGAAAGATACTGATCACAATTTTGTGTTTAGCAAAATGAGAAAGGCCACCTCCAACTTAACCTTTCTGACCTTTAGTTTCTTCTGTCATAATATGAGGAGGATGCCATAAATTTCACAGGGGCAGAATTGGAAAGACTAAGCAATAACTAGAGAGTAGACATACTTGCATAGAAGATTTTTGGAGCTTCTTTAAGACATTTGGCTGTCAATTGAAATGTGAGGCTTTAGTGGACTCTTTAATTTTTATTTTTTATTGTTATTTAATTACAGTTGTCCCCATCTTTCTCCCATCGCTGTCCCCTGCCCTACCTGTCCCACCTCCACTCCCTCAGTCAATGGGCCCTTTGTTCATGTCCATGGGCCCTTTATACAAGTTTCTTCACTTGCCCCTTCCCCTTCTCTCCCCCGCTATCGCTCTCCCCCTCTATCTTTAAAGCAGCCAATAGAGCTTTCTGCAGTGACTACATTTTTATAATCTGTGATATCCACTACAATAGTTACTGGCCACAGGTGGCTGTTGAATACTTGAAATGGGGTTAGTGTTACCTCAGAACTAAATTTTAAATTTTACTTAATTTAAATAATCACACATGGTGGCAACCATATGGGATAGCAGAGCCTAAACAAAAATAGTTTAATTGGAAAGTAAAAATTAACAGATAAAACCAAAGACTTACCAAATAAAAATCAGGTATCAGAAATAGGATCTCTCCACCTAGCCATCCTGAAACATGTATTGTTTTGAAAGGCAGTGTTTTACTCAATAGTTTTTGCATGTCTTCCTCTAGGCCGCTTAATGAACTACCCAAAATTTTTTGATTTGTCTTGAAAGCTTACTGAATTCAAATAAAACAAACCAACCTACCAGCATTCTTCTAACTTTGTTAAAACATGTTTGTGTTTGAATTTCTTTGAGTGTCAGGAAATGGCAAAAAGACAGGTTCACTAGTAGTTCTTAGATGTGTCTTAGAATAGATATGCTCTAAAATTTCGCTCTGCTTCAGAACGTGTGATAAGCCAAAAGGGAACTATGCGATGCACATAAAGTTCTGGGGCATTTGTAGGGCTCCATGTACAAATACTGTCTCGACTGCTTGTTAAAAATAATGAGCATGGAATACAAAGCATATAGCCCTGGGCATGCAGAGGGCCGTGGCACCGGCCATGTTAACTGAGAGCACTTGTTATGGAAGTACTATGTATGTATGCTGGGGGGATAGAGAGGTGATATGGCGGGGGGGAACGACAAAACAAAACAAAACATTGTTTTGATTCATCCATAAAACTTAATAAATGTTACAATCTGAAAATAAGTAGACTGACCATAATAATTTATTTGTAAATACCCTTTGTCCTGCAGAATAACACAAAAATTTAATTAATACTAATTTGCCCTATTTTTGTTGAAAAGACAGGACAGGCAAAACCATAGTTTATCCTAACTAGAGAAATATAAAATTTGTATGAAAATCTCTGATTAAAAAGGGAGAGAAGAGGAAGATATAGAGAAAATCTCTAGGCAAAAATAGGTCAATTTACATAGGAAGAAGTCCTGCTATGACAATTCTATATTAATTAACTAAAAATAATGGCAGTGGTAGAGGAATGGTGGAGTGAAGGATCCCCTGGGTCTCTCCCCTTGAAGTTTCAACAACTTGAAAAGCCATAACTCACCCAAGGATTCCCTGCTCAACACACAAACACGCCTGAGAGATCCGTGCATTGAAACATGTAAAGGTGGCCAAGCGGGACCGAATGGGGGAGACAAGAAGGGAGAAAAGCTGAGAGGAGCTCACAAACCTGCAGCAAGAAGCTCATGGCAGGGCTCAGCCCGGAGAGGGGAGGAACCAGGCTGTGGCCAGCGCTCGCTTCCCCTGAAGGAGCAAAGAGATTCGGTGGGGGGGGGGGGGGGGGGGGGGGCGATCCTGCAGGAGTGAGCACTACGAGCTGCAGCTGAGCCTAGTGACCTGGGCAAGTGTAGCTGCAGTCGTCGGGCAGTAGCCTTTCACACAGAGAAACAAAGACACAGAGCCTGGCCACCCTGTTGCCGCCCAGAGCTCACCTCCATTCGCCCTTCATTTTGGTTCGTGGAGCACATTACAGTATCTGCAAACCCAAGGACTGATACTACAGAATCACTATTTTACCTATGAAAGAAGGGTACGCTCTGTGATTGGTCCCAGATCGAGGTACAGAGGGGACCCCATGGAAGTCCGAGGTCACCATTACCACGAGGACAAAATAACACAGAAGGCTGCCTGGTTCCCCGGCCCACGCCAGCCCCACATATCATGGCTCCACTGCTGACACTGCTAAGATACTTGTGATTCAGCACCGCCTACTGGGAAAATAATAGACCTCTTCCTAGTCGTCTGCTAGAAAAGGGCCACTCATACATAGATGCCTAGACAGAGAAGGAATCCATCAAATGCCATGAATAACCAAGGTAGCAAAACAGCTCAGAAAGAAAATGAAAACAATCACCAGAAAACAAACTTAAAGACATGGAAATATGTGACCTAAGTGACAGAGAATTCAAGATTGCAGTTCTGAAAAAATTAAATGAGATGCTAGTAAATAGAGACAGGAAACTTAATGAACTCAGAAAACAAATCAAACAAAACGAGTACTTTATCAAAGAGATCCAAACTTGAATAAAAATAAATTCTCGAGATGAAGAACTCAAAAAAAAAAAACAACAACAACAACAACAACGAAATCAAGAATGAACTAGCAAGTATAAGAAATAGAGTGGACCAGGTGGAGGAAAGAATTAGTGATACCAAAGATAGGAATCTAGAAATGTTGCAGAGGGAGCGACTTGGGCATAACAAATGTAAGAACTCTATGAGAACTGTCCGACTCCATCAGAAAGCAATATAAGAATAATAGGCAAACCAGAAGAGGAAGACAGGGAGAACGGAACGGAGAGCCTATTCAAGCACAGCTGGTGAGAACATCCCAAACCCATGGAAGGACCTAGATCCTCAAGTCCAGGAAGCAAACAGAATACCTAATTACCTCAATCCAAAGAGACCTTCTCCAAGGCACATTGTATTGGGTTGGCCAAAAAGTCCATATGGTTTTTTCCTGTAAAATAGAAGACATATTTTTCACTTTCACCAATAACTTTATTGATTTTGACATTTTGAGTAGGTTGGCTATCTCCCATGTGATAGAACATTGATTGTTCTCAATTAATGTCTTGATTTGATTACCATCAACTTCGGCGGGACTACCTGACCATGGAGCATCATCTCGCAAGAAATCTCTAGCACAAATCTTTGCAAACCACTTTTGGCACGTTCAATCAGCTACAACACCTTCTCCATGCACGGCACAAATCTTTTTTTGTGTTTCAGTTGCATTTTTTACCTCTCTTGGAATAATAAAGCATAATAGGCTGAAAATGTTGTGTATTTTCTCCCAACTTCAATATTAAAATGGCCACACAAAAATTTACCAATTTTGATGTTTTTTTAATGCATGTTGATATAACAGTTGTCACAATACAATCTAACAAAATTGCTTTGAATGAAGTTAAAGACAACTAAGCACTACTAGAGCCATCTTATGGTAAAAAACAAGTGAACTGTTTGGTCAACCTA